GGCCAAAAATAATAACCACGCTCAAAGCTGTATAGTTGAAAAGACGGCATTTAATCATCAATCTTTCTGCAAAGCATTCGAATGCATGGGTGTCAATTTTGAATCGGCCGACCTCGCATTTCGACCGTGAAGGGCTTCCCTTTCCACGGTGATTCTCCAGCTTCAAATACTCGAATATACAAACAACTTACACTATTGTAATGAAGAAAATCTGAACTTTTTCAATGTGTTCAGCATAATTTGGTGTTTTATAGCAAAACAGCAAAGAAACAGAGATCTGATTACCCCCCCATTTTACCGAAACCCTGCGCTCGGAAGGCCGCGAGTCGGCTTACGTGCCGCGTTTACGCTACCAAATTATACGTTTGCAATAACACCAAAAGCACACAAGAGCACATACACACCTACAAAAACACAAACACACATATATACACACATGCACATAGACCGCCTCGTTTGCCTCTTGGTAAGGAGTCCGCTTTGAGAGATCTAGACGAAGTTAATTAATCTTTTAAAAGCACTAAAACACAATAAAAACGAATTTTTCAAGTCAATCCAAGTGTAAAACTGAAAGATCAACAGACGATAACAGCTAGCAGGGTACGACCTCACAGTCAGCTGTTTATGTAAACAAGCTTGAAGTGAGCTAGAAGTTGTCGTTTTTACTCCGTTTTACCATTCAAAGTTGTCTACATTTCAGACTATTCATGCTCAAAAAGGGGTCAAAATCTAAAAATAGTTGCGAATGAAGAACGTTGAAGCAAAGGTGGCCATGAGGTAATGGTTCTAAAAAAAATCCCAGAGCTACACACTAGCAAGGTCCAAATTCCTTTATCACATCACCCAAGCTTACAACAAACAACACACATCTCCCAATTAAATCAAAATAATATTTTTATAGTTAATTATAATTTTTCATTTTTATCTTAAATGAAGCAGAAGACATCAAACTTTCAATATACACCCCCATAAAAATTTAATGGAAAGTCACTTTTTTTGCCTTTTTAGCCTCGTAGCTGAAAATAGCACATAACATCTTATGACTGATATCGACCGGGGCAGACAGATATAATATGTATGTATATATATATATATATTATATACACACATATAAGGGCATGGGCTATATATATTATGGGCAATTCTCCTGAACACTTGAACTTGCACATACCCTTTACTACAGATACCATAAATAGCTTTCTTTATTTCAAATCATAGTTAAGATGAGCTAAGCTGGTGGTGAAAAGGTTGCCGAACCTTGACTAGGCAGAAAATATCCAATAAAACGAAATGCTGAAACAGTGTGCGGTTTCGTAAATAAAAGTCTTAGTTTCCTTTTAAAAAAATCATTTTTGCACGGTAATGTTTAAGACATTATATTGTTTGATAAGCATTTTCTTCTTTAAGAAATGTTTAGAAATTTGTGTGAACAAACAATGAATATAAAGGACATTGTACTTTCCCAAATTAGTTTTTCTTTCCCTTCATTATATTTCATGTTTTGACCGGAATGGTTGTGTCCTGTAACATTTAAAGACCTTAGCACACTAGTCTAAACTTCACTTCTGTTTCCAAAGAAACCAAACAAGCTTTAGCTTCAGCCTTTTAGGGATCAAAACTCAACATGTCAAAGGTGTACTGAGTACAATTTCAAACTATTTGGTTGAATTCTAAAATTTGCTGTCCGTGTTACGAAAACTTCAAGTTTTTACGACGTGGTGGAATCAGGCTCTCATCAATTTTTGGGCAGGTAGAATTATTGGTATCACATTAAAGCTTGTTCATTTGTCTCGCTTTGGGTGAAAAAAATATCCATTTATTTTGAATAGAAGTATAGATATTTGCGAATAAAGGAGGTGGGGGTCACCTGATTTCAGAGGTAAATTTAGTGAGAAAATGGCCGCCAAAAATAAGCTTTTTTCTTAGCTTGAGAGTCAGAGGAAACTGAACATGTAGATTTTTTGTGTATTTAATTAACGTTTTTCAGTAAAATCCACACAGAAATGTGTTCTTTAACACTTTACAACCTCATCTCGCCGATTGGCTATGTTTACCACCCAGTTTCTTTGGATTTCCCCCAAAACATGACGGCAAAGTGTTAATGGGCATGAAAGGTGATGAGCCAAAAAACAAAAATTCGATAAAAATTCACAAACCTGCACAAAAATGCCAGTTTCTTCACTTAAATTATTTTGACGAGCGCCTGATGTCAATTTTAAGGCAAGTTGAGTTATCAGTATCATCTGAAAGCTGATTTATTTGTCTTGCTTCCAATTAAATTAACGTCCATCTATCTTGAATAGAACTCAAGATATCTGCAATTGAAGGAAGTGAGGTCACCTGGTTTCAGCGGTGAAATTAGCAAGAAAATGACCGCCAAAGTTTGATAACTCCAATAGAAAAGCTAGAGTCCTTGAAAACAGAAAAATGACAGATTTTATGCCTTTAATTAGGTAGCACAAGCGAAATTTTTTTGGGACAATATTGATGTTTAAACCTTAGGGGTTCAAATCTACTCTATAAAACAAGAACATTAAAAAAAGAATTATAAAAATCCATCAATAAACAATCGAGATATGGTATTTCAAAGTTTTCTTTTTGAACGAAACCTTTTCAACTGCGACTTTCACCCATGTTTGAGGTGTTCTAAAATACAAAGTGCATGATCAAATCAATGAAAACTTTGTTTTTCCCAGAGATGTTAACACAAATATTGATATCTCTAAATCAAAGCAAGTTAGAATGACTGGTTTCCAAGATATAAACCTTCAAAAATTGGAAAAAAATGCCAAAATGTGTCATTAAGAGCTCAGAACCCTATTTCAACCTCTTCCAAATTAGTCAAAACTGCCTCCTCATTAGTGAAAAGCACACAATCATTACAAATACATGCATAGACTTAGCTGACTTTTTTTCAGACCCCTCTAACGACCTTTCTAATCATAAGCAACTTTTCTGGACTCTTCTGAAGTGGACTTCGGTGCAAAAAACGCCTCTTGGAAAAAAATTAGGGGAATTCTGGTACATCCTCGGGCAAAAAGCATCATAACAAGTGAAAAAAATTAAGCTACAGGGCTAAATCATACATCAAATTAAAGCTCAATGCAAGCTCTATGAGGCTAAATGAAAATTGTTTACTAAAACCTCTCATAACACTCCATAATAAGGCCCTAATGCCCAAAAACCTTCCATTATTGAGTGAAAGTTATAACGTCTGCCGACTGGAAAAAAATTAATATAAAATCAACAAATTGTGCTACAAGGCTGCATTATATATCAAATTAAAGCTATTTTCAGGCTCTGTACAGTGAATTAGTTTATAGAAAGTAAAAATCTGCCAAACATTTCAGAAATGAACAATAATGTGAAAAAAGTCATCATTATTGGTTCAGAAAATGAAGATTTCTGCTCAGGGGGTTTAAAAATTGGAATTAAATCAACATACTGTTCTACCGTGGTTCATCTTGTATAATATACACCTAGTTCTAGATTTATTTATCATTTTTGCTGAGAAAGAAACCAGTGGCTGGGGAAATACAATGTATCATCGTTCATCGTGTGTCCAGTAAGTGGATGGAAGAAAGAGGGGGGTGGGGGGGTTTATTTCTCCAATTATCAGGTGACATCTAAGTGTAACGAAGTCTAAGAATACGTAAAAAGGCTGGTTGATTCAATTTTTGAATATCCACCAATCAAGAACGTAGATCTAGCCTTTTTTGTTATCAAATTAAATGCCAAACAATAGATCTACGAACATTTCCATCGGTAACACTAACATCCGGTAACTCCCTCCCGAGTGTTTGGTAGTGTGTGATGACATGTTACTATAAATAAAACTCCCGGTTCAACTCTTCATGGCTTTATTCTTTCACTTTGTCGACCAGAGATGCTTAGATTTCGATGCATTTAGAATAAATAAGGTGTTCTTAGTTGAAAAGACAGCAAAAATACCACCACCAAGCGATACATTTGTATAGATCGCAAATAATTCACTATGAGGTGGTGGAAATGTAGGTCGGCGTGATTCCCATCAAACAATAACAATCCATTCACACGGCAAGAGGTGGCCGATTAGTCTTATTTTTCAAAACACGATATTCATAAGTATCCTAAAAGAAAATTATGATAACACTTACATAAATTGACGCCATAAACAGATCTATCGAATGTTTCTTTTACTGAACTATCATATAATCGTCTGCTGCTTGGGTCAAGTCAGAGATGGTGGCAATGGGCGATGGAACAGCCGCAATGGCAGAATGACGATCTCCCGAAAGTGGTTGTTACCCCACTTCAGAAAAAGTAATATTTCTACTACGTGGAACGTAGTTGACTTTTCTAAACATATAAACTAGATGGTAGAGATGTCTAGGAATATGATCCTGGCACGGATAGCCCGATTTGTGTCGAGTTTCATATTTTAAAATGCTTTCTTCGTCTTTACATCGTACCACTCATGCTTTCCGCTCGGAATAAAAACATAAACACATTCCCCAGAATTTTCTCCTGAAATCCCAGATTTTTATGTTTCAAACCGCAAGAAAATTCGATGATTCACGACTGAGAAATCGAAATTTAAAACAAGTACCCCTCAAATGTAAGAGCGCAAAATTGCGAGACAGCCGAGTTTTCCCGTGTTAAACTTTAGTCAATTAAAAACTAAATATGCAATCATTAGTATCAGTTTCTCGTTCACCATGGAGAAGGAAAGACACAGAAAACAGTGGTATCATTTTCATTAGTGTTTACAAAAATTAAAACCAGCTAATAGTTGGATGAAGTTGTCCAAATCTGGCTACAGCCGTAGCTGTCTGCCTTGAAAACGGAAATAAAAGAGGTTAAGCCAAAAAATAAAAATTCAATAAAAATGTCCAAACTGGCAGAAAAAGGCCTCTTCTTCCGATTTTTGGATTTTGACGATTTCAACACGCTGCTTCACATATATAACTACAAACAATGACAAAAACATTCATGACGACCAGAAGATCTTTTAGCCATACCTGGTTCATGGTATTGCTGCCTTTGGTCATCGCCCCTAGGTATGCCATAAGGCACACGTCGTTGCATTGCTGAAATGTGAAAGGGTAATTCATAAATGATCAATCATTTGGAAAACATGTTGTTACACAAAACATATCAATTTATGACAACCGCATAATTTGTAAAGCTGGTCATGCAATTCTCACTGCTAAAACACATATTAAATCATTTACTATAGTGAGAGGTGCACCTCAGAGAAACTCAAAACCAAATTGTGAGAATAAGAATTGTGGTATGAATGACATCGCACAATAATGTCAGCAGAAAAAGGCAGATGATCAAAGACCTAAAGAGTTACAGCTTTTTAAAAAAGTATCTCACTGCAATACAAGTGTACTTCCATTTGAATTGAACTCTACATATTTACCGTTTTACCTAAACAAAAATAAAGAAAAAGAGGTGCTGGGATCCCAGGAAAAGATTAACTTAGATGAAGATCAACTCAAGTGACTTCAACTGAAGTGGGGTCAACTATTACCCACAAGAAAAAAGCAATCTAGTAACAAAAATAAAAATCTGGAAATTATTTACTGCAGGGTCCCCACGAAATCCTGGAAATTTTTTTCAAGACCCCAATTCGAGGAAAAAATCAGGCCTCTGCGCGTCAAGAATGATCCCCCAAAAAAGCCAATCTATCATTGATAAAAAGTCAAAATGTCTTTAAATGAATGCAAAGGTACATTTTGTAGTATAGTCTTCAAACAATAGATGACTATAATACTGGGTGACTGCCAACCCAGCTTCTCAATTTTCCAAGGGAGGGGCCTCATCCATTTTCCAGGAACACGTTACATAACAATGAAAGCGTGTGCTCTATTTATATCTAATATAATACATGTATATGTTTGTGAAAACACACACACACACATGTAGGTACATTATATCCAGTCAACAACATGTCAGTGTGGCACTGGGATCTTGAGAGACTTTGGTATTTCAGTCTGTTCTTACTTATTTATATTTTCCCCTCATCATATTAGCCAACATAACAAACTATAGGCCCTATATAAAAAATGAATCCTGTTTTGAGCTTGAGAAAAGACCTAGAACTAGAATATCGACTGTCAATAACCAGTCTGGGTGTCATGATTCATATAATAAACGTGAAGACGAAAACTATTGCTCAAACTCAAAGTAGAGTAATATTAGTAATAACTAGAATGGCTCAAGTACACCTATTCAGTGTGAGAGGTGTAAGAACTGAGGGAGGGCAAGATGCAGTGACACTGAAAATCTGCCAATCTTGAACAGAAAGCTAAAATATAGATATAAATCACAATCACCCCATCCAATGAAACGCGAACACTTTAGTTCAATAACAAGGCATGACGGATCCCAATTCCACACATCCACACAAGGCCTGCACCAACGCGCGCTTTGCAGAGAGCTCTAAAGTAGTTATCAAAATGCTAAAAATTTGCTTCCAAGTTCAGTTTTTGTCCTCTAGCGTTGCCTTCAGCCCCCCCCCCCCCCCTCCGAATCCCCTTCCACGACTGTATCTTAATTCTTATAAAGGAGTCCTATACTTCACAGCGCTCAGACCGCCGGTACTCACAGGTTCATTGACCGGTCACGAGGACGAACATGTCAAGACGCTTGTATAAAAGTTCTTTTTCTTTTTTTTTTTCACAAGTGACAGCAGAGGGCGATTTTTAATATTGATTTATTTTCAAAGCAACACAGCGTTCATAATGCATAACCTGCATGTTACAAATGTTGCGTTATTTATCAGACTAGATCTATAATTACCGGAAAATTTCTGGGCGGTAATGAAAGCGAAAGTAGATCTTGATTCTTCCCGATCGAGCCTCGGCGTCACACATACACTTCCGCAACAGCGGTTCAATTACGTTTCCTCTTCAGGATTCATCAACCCTACAGTCTAGATAGCTACACATTACACAGGCCCTATCCTTTCCCGACTTATCGACCCATCACAAATTTCCCGACTTTTCCCCGACCTCCCGACCCATCTCAAAATTCCCGACTTTTTTCCGATTTCCCGACCTGGTGGGGACCCTGTTATTGCCAACTTCATCCAACAAGAACAATTATAAAACTATTTGAGAGACAACTAAGGGAAGTAACAATCATCCTGAATGGGTGCCTATGAGATACCCATCAGAATGTATACCTCAGCTTGCAGAGGTGTGAATTTTTGCAGTTGACCCAAGGGAGCCTAGGTGCATGGTTGCTACAGGCTCAAGGCTCAAAGGGCAAAAACAAATTTTAAAACTAACCGTGTAATAATCCTCGCCAAATCTTTGAGAGTTCAGGACAGGTAGACGGTAGCAAAGACTGTAAGCCTCTCTTAGGATGTCGTGGTTCTTGGCAACTTCATCTGACAAAATCCACAATACATACAACATATCATAAGAAATAGCCTTGTTTCTTCATTCCAGAAATAAATATGTTATGAAATGTTAATTAGCGAGTGTGAGTTCCTTTCACTGAACAAGGTTAATCTTAAGAGCAGTAATTTCCAGAGCATACAATTCATTTGGTATTAAGCTGAAATACTGCATGGGTGATTCTAATTCCTAACGGAGAATTCTTTAACATTGGTCATTTAGGGAGTGTAAAAGCCTCCTCAAGTCTGACTCTTCATCCTCGCCACGGTAGGTGAAAACAGGATGAAGTTGGGGACCCCAAAATGTCATGTCTGATAAAACAGTGACTGGCATAGCCGGCTGACGGTGGATAAACCTTGCTACAAAAGACTAAGCAGAAATTATCCGCTAAACCCTAAACACCACGAGAAGACACAGGCAGTGAAATGAAGATGCAAGGTCAACTGTTGGTATGGAGTCTAGCCTGCATTTCATTAAAAAAAAAAGAATAAAATGTTTTGTCCACCTGTTTTGAATGTCACCTAGTCAGCCAGCCCCAAGAGCCTATAACACCAAGTACATGGCCTCCTCTCCTCTTGGCCGAAGGGCAATAGGACACACAAACAATGGATAAAGGGAGACAATAGAACCATGAGAAACTACATCTCATTTGAAAAAGCTGCAGAGTAGGTCAACTATAGAAAAGCGCATCTCCCCCAAAGCTCACCAGCAACAGAGGATGAAAAAGTAAAAAGTGAAAACTATCAGAATAAGACCATTCACCCATTTGGTTCTGTCCTATTAGAGATGGATGTTAAATTAGGAGGTTCCCCTTTTTATAATAAGTTTCAAGTGCAGAAAAAAGTCATCCTGCAACCAGCCATACAGTACAAAAAGTCAACCAAAAATGCACCATGCTGCAGTGAATTAGTAATTTCTTCCTTGACTAGATCTAGAAGAGATAAAGAGAGTAAAAGATCAAGGGGAAGACCACATGGAACCTGAAGAAAAGTCACAGAAAATGATGTACATAAAAATGGGAAGACATGGAATAACATCAAGAGGCTAGCCCAGGTTACGAAAAAGTGGAAAGTGTTTGTTCGTTACCTATACCCTGATCCAGGGTGAGTAAGGCAATGATGACGATGACGCATAAAAGAACCAGAGCTCATCCATTGTGTCAAGTGGGACAAATGACATGCTGACCAAAAAAAAAAAAATGGCTTGCCAATCCAGAGGTGAGATAACGTGACAAGACAAAGCCTTAGATGGAATCCCTTGGAGAAGAGAAAGAAAGGAAGGCTGAGATCTATCTGGGAGCAAAATCTGGAGGCAGATCTCAGGCATATGGGACACAGCTGACAGGAGGTGTAGAAGAACACCCAGATCAGAGACAGCTAGACAGCTTTTCTTGGCGGCCTTTACCCAATATCAAGAGACAAATGATGAATCAGGTGGTTAGGAGCCTAAAACCAAAGCGCAAGTTCTATTCCTCCTCAGTGTGGCTTGTGTATGACTTTGAGATTCCACAACTTTTTACCCGAGATTTTTGTCTCCCTGATCTCTGGGTGGATAACGTCTTGCCTTTAGCGTTCAGAGCAGACCAATAAGCTCAGAGGTTCAAGTGCTTGTAGCGTACTTAACATCGTAGCAGTTGAAAGCCAAATATTTAAGAAGAGTAGTCCTGCCAAGGTTCTAGAGGGACTAAAAGGCAGTCATCATCCACATGACAATGACCACTTAAGTGCAGTGGAAAAGCAAAACAGATAGTCAGAAACAATAGGAAAAAGAAAATGAAACAAGACTGCCCAGTGGCAATCTCCCACTTCCCACAATTGGGAATGAAACTAAGAATAAAACAAACACTATTAGAACATTTTCCCAAGCCTGTATCAGTGGGTAGTTGGCGGGCGCTCAGGTGTGGTTTGCTCCTTCCTTCTTATCAAACATATCTAGCATCCTTATCTTTCCTCCTTTTGTGGCTTTGTTACTCTCTTGTAACACCTCTAATCTTTGGCACTTACATGATCTATTGTGTTGCAAGTGCTGTAAAACTTTTACTGAAACTAGAACAAAACAAGCCAGTATCATGAAAATCTGGGACAGCTCACCTTTCTGAGCAGCCTGTATGTAGGCCAGGATCACCTTGATGCGATTGTGCAGCATCTTGATAGAGCTGTGCTGGGCCACTAGGTGCTCCGCTGGGTGTGGAGAAGGAAATCATAAAAATGACAATAAAGATGAAGGTATTGATAACGATAAAGATGGTATGATAGAAATTAGAAAAATAATAATAAAGATAAAGAAGATAGCAATAGTAAAGATGGTAATAATAATAATGACGGTAAGAACATAGGAACAAGAACAATAGACAGGGTGTCCAGCAATATTTCCTGAAAAAATTTACTACCTGGAAAAAAATTTACTACCCAGCAAATCAAGCCCCACACCAGCTCGAAAAAGGGAGTTCATTTGCCCCATCAATAACATATATATTATTATTACATAACATATGGAACGAAAAGAACACACAACAAAGTCCAGTCGACAAAATGGAGGATAGACCGACGATCGCAAGCTTGCTTGCAGCTAGATTTAGTTTTAGTAAGGTTTTTACTGCGCTCGCAACTGCATAGGTGATATGAGCGACAAGGGGTGGATGTCAACAGAGAAGTCCAAGCTTCGACTATCAAGGCACCCCGGAAATAGTAGTTCACAAGTGTGACAAACATACAAAAGAAGTAGAGGAAAATTACGATAGTAAAGAAGAGGACAGAAAAGGCAGCAGTTTCCCCTACACGGTCCAGCACAGTATGAGCATGACATTAATAAATCAGCCCATTTACAATTCTACTGTGCATAAGAACATGTTAATATCCTCCCTTTGGGAATGGCCTAAAGATGTTTCAGTCAGTAGCACTGCCCTGGTGGAGGTGGGCGGGGGAAGGGGGGGGGGTAGATTTATACCTAATGTGTACACACAGGGTGACTGCCAAACCGGCTTCTCCATTTTCCAGGACCATGTTACACAACAACAACGCGCACGCACGTAATGACTCGAATAAACCTATTCAGTGTGAGAGGTGTAAGAACTGTGAGAGGGCAAGAGGCAGTGGCACTGAAAATCTGCCAGTCT